ACTGAAATGTCAAGTTTCTTACTTACGATTATACTTATTTTTACTTCTATATTATCCTTATAGTTAAAATTTTTTTCGTCGCGTAAAAATCCCCACTAACCGCCGCTGCTGTTTTACCCGGGCCTGTGTTTACTGGTTACGATGTGGGGTCACACTGTCTATCGTTGCTCGTACTCCTACTCATATTTCACTAAGTAGATAACAATTTAACACCTTGTTTTGCCTCTAAAGACAGCACGGGAGATATCACAACTTGGAAGTCGTTTGAAGTACCTATGCAACAGCATTGTTGATCAGTGTCCCGACTCCATTCACAAACGGGACCTGCTGATGTACATGAACAGGATTGCACTCTACTCACACCAGTTAAACATCTTAAGTCGCGTGAAGGCAGACGTAAGAAACCTGTCCGGCGAACTAGGCGTAAGTGTTCATTCGTATGCCTTTTTTCGTTTTTTCTTTCTCTACACTTTCCCTGCATTCAATAACCAGTTGTGTCACTGAAACCTATCTGTCCTCTTTTCCTTCCTGCCCCGAAGTTGGATAATGCGCTGTCCTTGGTGGTGTCCGCAAAAAACCTCATGTCCGCCGTTAGTGCCGCCGTCAAGGAGAGCTACATAGCAACAAAACTGCCCGGCACAGCGCAGACCCCAGATCTCTGCTGGCAACTGCCAATTCCTCATCAAAGACCCCTGCTCGAGGTCTCAACCGGAGGCCTCCAAAGTCCCGTGGACTCACCTCGGCAGACTTTTAACCAGTTCCAACGAGTGGATCATGTCACCTAAAAGCACCCGCTAATTTTGCTTACACTAACTTAAATTTGCACAGCGACTTGTCCTCTCAGCTTTTTTTAATTTTACAAAGTTTATACTCTGAATTATTATCCTTAGCTGTTGTCGTATTTATAGCATCCACGGGGCAACCAACAAATGTTAACAGTAGCAGAGGGAAATGCCTTCTTGGGGAGGAGCGCATTTTAGGGAAAAGTGATGCGCATTTTGCGAATCGACTCGGTCACTTAATTGGTCAGGTATTGACGGATAGAAACAAACTGTAAGAAATGGAAACAGGCGCTGCCGAAGAGTTACTCAAGAGTTCTGGCGCTGCAGTGGGTGCGCAGAACGCAAAAATGCGAGTCTGCTGCTGATAGTAATAGATTACCCAACGAGGCAGCTTGACGACTCTAGATAACAAAACAGGTGTGGAATGTAGAACAGCAGGCAAGAACACCAACTTGGACGTTTGTCGATAACCCAGAGCTCGCTCAGATTGCCTGAGAAAACCTCAACCCTGTACACGGGCGGTCCGT